GATTGTGTATCAGACGAAAAATTCAGCACACTTATTTAAAGTCAGCCTCCACTTTGAGCTCTTTCCAAAAAAAAAAAAACTGTGCACGTCATGCACTAACTATAGGTTGCAAAACTGGCATTTTTGCTTTATCCTGTCTTCCTTTCATCCTTTTCAGCAGCCCCAAATGTACTTCACTACCAAAACTGCTTCTGCCAGCACTGGCCTATTTGCGAGCACAGGCACAGCGAGATTCTGCCAAGCTCTCACAGAAAGATGTTTGGCAATGCCCATCCAGTTCCAGGGGTGTAAGGAACCACCGACCCAAAGGCACCAGTGTGAAAGCAGAACCGCCTGTGCAACCACATTGACTCACTGGAAGGCTTCAAAACTGGGTGAATTGTACTGGTATGAGACTTCCTTTTCTTCCACTCACTCATTACACCAGAGTGAGAGAAGCTGTAGTATTACAAGGTTTTAGCTTTGGGACTGAATACAGATTGAACTAATGCTACCCTTCTTTTTACCTGTTTTTATAGCAGAGTAGAAAGCAACAAATTTCTGGTGCTTTACCTTTACTAGAAAGGAAAAATGAATTAAAAGTCATTAGCCAGGATGTGGTAACACAGTTAAAACATTAATGAGAGAAGGCAAACGATTCCTAGATACACTAGCACATCGCTCTTCACGAGGCAGTTTCTTCAATCCCTCCCTTGAAGTGACAGAGAGGAACAGACATTAACGGGTTCCTGGAGCTTTACCAGCCAAACTGACTGAGTGATTCCTGCATGGATGCTGCTCTTCTAAGAGCATTCCAAGAGAAGGTGTTTACCATTTAATTTTCCCCAATTAGTCAAGCCCTGGTATAGGAAATACCTATTAAGGATCTAAGACAGGACTTCTAATTCTAGTGCTAACTGTAAGGAGAGATGCCCTTGGCATTTCAGACCCAGAGCTTGACTTTTGGTGTCTCACACAAACTGGACATATTAGGACATGTGTTGCTTTCTTATGTAAGATTCAAACTTTGTTAATTGCATAAAAACTTAACAGTACAATGCCATTGCGGGAAAAATGCCCTGTTTTGTTTTCCTCTCCCTTGGTTCAAGGTCTTGAATGTCTTCCTTTTTTTCCAATTCCCTCTGGCACTGGAGATTCTTAACCAAATTCTATTAAGATGCAAAGAGTGCCCCTGAATCAGCTTGGAGGAATTTATTTATAGGCACTTAAATTCTTTCTTAATCAGTGCACAATCATCTTACAGTCTAATCAATGCATTCTACAGCAACAGAGATCCACTTAATGCTGCAGAATTTTTCTTTCACTGTATTAAAGACTGGCTAGAAATGGTAAATTACTTCCCTTGAGTAACCATAGCCAAGATTATATAAATAGATAAATAGCTATATAAATAAATTTTGTCTTTACTCTGTATTACCAACAGTTGAACAACCACTGCAGAGAATTCCATAGTTGTTATTCACAGTGGGTGAACAGCCCGATTTGTTTTCAAGTTTCCCTTGCAGCCAAAATTAAATTGCCAAAGCCAGTAGATTTTCTTTCATCTGCTGGTTTTGGCTGGGATCCAGCTAATTTTGGGGCTATGTTTTGGATTTGTGCTGGAAACAGTGCTGATAACCAAACACAGAATGAAATTACATTAAATCACACAGCAAAGGGAGATGTCTATGTTTATTCTGTTAGGTCATTGGACAAGTGCAGATCTTTCCATCTAAGGACTGAGATGGACTAAATATCTCAATTTTATGAGAAAAATCCAACCATCCTTTTGACTTCAACTGCTTTTATGTGTTTGCAGCCCCTCATCACTAGTCTTGTTTTCCATTAAGCAAAAATCTCAGCTATAGCTACCTTTCTATAGGGACATCTGAAAATTTTCCTCAACATGTGCAAATTGTATTATTTTGGTTTGGGATTTAAAATAAAATCCTGCTGCTGTAAAGCCTGGTTTACAAGAAAGCACGGTAATCTAGCACCAGTTGACAAGGCTTCCTTTCCTGCAGAGATAAAAAATCTTTCCTAGGCCCCCTTCCAGAGCATGCAAGCATTTGAGTGAAGTATCTAGATCAGAGCTTTCCTGGGGGAGAGATAAATGACAGCAGCAAGTAAACACTTGGGAGATGATGCTGGAACCTGTTTGGCTTTCTCTTTGGGGGCAGAATAATTGACATGTCTGTGTGACTCAGGGGGAATATTAAGAGAGTCAAGAGGCACATGTTTTAGCAACCATTGCCACTCATGGGCACACAATTTCCAGCATCTTACTTGCTGTATATATAGTTGGTATATAGCAAACCCCCAAACTATTGCACAATAGCAGCAAGCTTGCATTGATTTTCAGGGACAGCCCTATTCCCAGGCACATTCTCGTTTGCATCTTGCTTAAAGGGAAGAGTCTATCATGCCATCGTGCACGTATATGTATATATGTATACCTAACACTGAGCCAGTTGAGCCTGTAGAATCACCCAAATAAATAAAAAAGTCTGCTGTTCTCTAAGCAGGGTCAGCTAAAGACAGCTGCTATCCATGGAAACTTGAAAATACAAAGTGAGAGTGGAGCTTTGAAACTTCTTTAAAGCAGGTAGAACTGTAGCAATGTTCTCAAAGGGGAAAATCTCTGCAGAGTTCAGTGAAATAAGAAAGTGGGGTTTTTTTCCAAAGTCAGACAGCAACAGACCCAAGTTCAGTATCATAGACTGAATGCATGAGATTTGCATATTTTAATTTTTCAACAAAAAAACCTTGCATAGCTAATATTTACAGATAAATCTGCACACACAGGAACGTGGGAGACTTGCAGGTTTAACTGCAAAACCAGAGAAGGCTTATATTTTTCTGCCTCAGAAACTGTTCAGGTACAAAGACTGCATTTATTCCTTTACAGCAATTCACATTTGATACAAGAATCTTAATATCTTCTTGAACATCAGTAGAAGTGCCTTAAGCTCAGACATCGAGCTGTTGACCACAACTCTCCAGTTCCTTATCCACCAAGCAGTCCATCCGTGAAATCCTTGCCTCTGCAGTTCAGAGACAAGGATGTCACACATGACAGTGTTGAATACTTTGCCCAAGTCCAGGTAGATGGCATCGATTGCTCTTCCTTTATCCACCAAAATCGTGACCCCACCAGATTCGTCAGGCACGATCTGCCCTTGGTGAAGCCACGTTGGCTGTCACCAATTACCTCCTCATTTTCCACGTACCTTAGCATAGTTACCAGGACAATCTGCTCCATGATCTTGCCAAGCACAGAGGTAAGACTGACTGGTCTGTAGTACCCCTTTTTCCCTTTTTAAAGATGGGGATTATGTTTCCCTTTTTCCCAGCCAGTGGAACTTCACCAGACCGCCACAACTTCTTGAATATGATGGACAGGGGTTTCGTAACCTCACCTTTCCCTTCCAGAGCTTCATCCCATGGAACTCTGCCAATCAATTCCCTGAAGAGGCTAAAGTCTGCTCTCCTGAAGACCAGGGCAGCAAGCTTGATGCACACTCCTCACCTCCTTAAGGATCTCAAACTCCACCATTTGCTGAAATGAGCACCACATTCCCCCCCAGCCCCTTGCTGTGGGCGAGAACAAGGTCCAGCACAGCATCCCTCCTTGTCAGCTCCTCTATCACTTGGGGAAGGCAGTTACCAATACGTTCCAGGAACCTCCTGGTTTGCCTGTGCCCTGCCATATTGTCCCTCCAACAGGGGAGGTACTAGAGCAAATTCAGCCTCTGTTTCCCTGTACAAGCTGGTAATCAACATTTAAAGTCAGTCAGGGTCATCAAAATATAGTTTTATTTACATTTCCATATTCAAATTCAATACAAATCACAAAATATTTACAACTATTTTAACTGTACTATAGATAAGAAAATGCATTGCTTTTCCCCTCCAGATTCAACAGGACTTTATTGCGGGCTTTAAGACAAAAGTTCTGCTAACATTAGAAACAAGCCATGGATATGGAGATTAAAAAATAAAGTGCATCTGTAAGATGTCCTTAGTTACCTTACCTGGGCAAGGCCCTACACTTACTCTCGAGGCACCCAGTGCTCCTCCTCGACCCCAGTTCAACTCCCCCCAGATGGTAGACAGCTCTCATCTGTTCTGTTCACAGGACATCAGCTCTCCGTGCAGCTTTAGCACACGGGCAAGACAATGCACAGCAACAGTCCAGCGTTTTGCAGAGGCTGGATCATTTTCTGAACAAAACACAACAGATCCTTTGGGAAGAAATCTGTCTTTTCATCTTTAGTTCAGTCTTCCTGAAGTCATCCCAGACTCTCACAAAGCCAGAGCTCTGCCATACTGCTGGTGCTAGAGATGGTTGTAACTCCAAAAATCATGGAGGATCTTTCAGACTGCCTAATATTAACAGGTTTGAAAAGTTTCTGCAATTGTTCCCTTTACAGTATTGTGCAAGTCAGGTGTGGCCTGTCAGCCTGCAGCTCTCTTTTTCCCTTTAGGAATGCATGGTTGGCCAGCTGGAGTTGAGAGGTAGAGAATCAATCTGTTTACTACAGAACCAAAGACACTGGGCAAAATCCAGTTTGACAGACATTAGTTCGTACTGTCTCCTATCAGATTAGTGCACTGAAGTATTAAATACAGTGTTGCTTTAAACTAACCTCTGTCTGGTAAGTAAGTATTAGACCAGATCAATTTGTTTACAATGAAAATCCACTTGAATTAAAACAATAAACAACAAAAACCCCAAGTCAAAACAATTTCCAGTAGAGAGAGCTATGACATAAAGCATCTTCTCCTTATTTAAATGACTTAAACACCAAGGAAAAGCTTTGCTGAAGATGGAACTTGTGTTTTAGTGTTAAAATCTGATGTTTTTCTTTATATTTAAGAGCTTTATCTGAAGAGTCCTAAAACTAAATTCCACATGGGAGACGCAGTTTTAAAGAATGGCAAACCATACAATTGTAATTTGCAGCCATTGCCAAGGTCATGTTTTTTCTGCTACAGTCTTGCACTATTTGGTACACACAATGGAAGGAGGTAGCTCCCTGCAGAAGGCTTACACCAGGTTGCTGGGCGTGTTCTTAGGAACTGACTTCAGGAACTTGTGTTTCATCTGCCTCAAAACTTGGGTTGTCAGCGTGTGGAAGGACATCGATAGCGGAGGGCTGGGACTCGTTGTTTACAAGTTGCATGTTGTCATCTGTCCAGAATAAAACCAAGAAAAGACAAGTTAAGGAGCATCACAGGCAAGCTTTACTACCTTAAACCAAGCCACACTGGCCTCATTTCCACAAGCCCACTGCAGTGGTCTTCTCCCAGCACTGTTTCCTGCAGAGTGGGAAATCCAAGCCTGTACTCCAACTACTACTCTCCTGCTGCCCTCAAGAGCTTGTGAGCCCATTCTTGACACTACCTGTCATTTCTAGAGGTATCTGCTTGGCTCTGGAGATCACCCCTCACCAATGCTGAGCAAGCCTAGGTTGTGTGCTCAAGTCGCAGAGGTCATCTGAGGCTACAAAATTCAACTGTAAGGAGACTGGCAATTCTCATAACTTTAGGGCTGCTGAAGACAGGCATCAGGAACAAATTCCAGAGAGTAGGTTCAGGATAAAAGGTGAGACACAGGCTGATTCAGAGAGGAAGGCCTTCTCCCTGCAGACTAACCTTGTTCAGCTGATGTGTGTGTCCTCACCACTCAAGGTGAGAATACACAAAGGCCTGAGACACATAACTAATCTAGCATCACTTCAGTTGCTTATAGGGATGCAAGTTCAACTCCTGGTGTTTAGCTTATAGAAAGTGCCCTCTGCTCTACCGGGGTGCCTAAATGGGACACTCCTGCAGACACATCACTCATTGGAGCAATGTGTCCCACCAGCATCAGGCAGCAAATCCCACACTTTCCTATCAGCTGGGCTTCCCACAGAAAATCTAAGCAGATGCAGCCAGAGCATCCCTTTCACCTCTGAAAGCTTCCCCACTTACTCCTCTTCAAGGACATTCCACAATCCAAGGAATAGTTACTTTCATTTCTTTACCTGGAACCTTTCAATTTTTAACAGTCAACAGCAACACTGAGCATGTGTTGGCAAAGTTGAGCACTAAGAAGACATATTCAATTAGTTTGCCCTTGTTCAAAAATATAAGGTATTCTGAAAAGCTGATAGGCTTTTCCAATTAGAATTCCCTGAATTCTCTGAGTTTAAGGATGACTCAGCCTTGGAAAAACCCTGAAATTCAATTGAAGAATTTGTCATCTCTATTTTGCACCATCTAAGCTAGAGAAGGACTGACACCCCAAAGGTTTTCTCTAAGTAATTAACTACTTAAAGCAGACAGATCTGGTGGTAAAGAAGCATTCACTTATCCAAATGAAACCTCCAATAAGAAAACAAGATGAGGGACATCTTCCAAAAAAATCTTTGTCCTGTAAGTAACCAGCCTCTGATTTTCAACTACTTTTCATAGACTTCAGTTTTTAATTCACATTTAGGTTCTGTTTCATTTGAAAACAAAGACTACACATGACAGCCAAGTACTAAGACAAAAAGATTAAGACTACCCTGAAAACCAAGGTATTTAAATACCTTGGTTTGTGAGTTGTTATCACTGCCTTGATAACAACTCACAAACCCCCCTAATTCACAGCATAAGCAAGTGTAATGCAATCTAGCAAGACAGATGGAACAGTAGACGTACTTTCTGATGGTGCATGTTCCTCCAGAACAGACTCATCTGCTCCTTGCACAGAAGCATATCCAGATGATGCTGTTTCACTATGATTATCCTCTTCATTAACTGTAGAGACATTTGATGTCCCACTGGATACTGTGGCTTGCACAGACACAGCCTCTTCTTCCACATCCATCTTTGTGAAAAGAGAGAAAACGGTTAAGTTACAACTTTGTAGGAGGCTGCATCTTTCCAAAAGACCAATGCCTGCAAGGACTGGAGTCTAGTGAACCCAGAAAAAAATTAGAAAAAAAAAAGCTCTGCTGTTAATCTCCAGCTTCATAAGTGAAAACCAGTTACAGCCTAATTAAGCAGGAAGTTTAATGTAGCTTCTGCATTCTACAGCCAGCTCTTCCCTTTCACTACCGAGAACAAGGAAAAGAGATTATTCCTTCCACTCAGCGCAGATTTCCCTCCCCCAGGCAAACTCTGGAATACATTTTAGCTGGTCCAGGCCACATCAAGCATTGGAAACAGCATCTTTCACTGGCACTTGCCACAACAAGCAGTTGCAGAACACATAGGAAATTCCTTATGTACCCTAGGAAGCCATGTGGCTCCAGGAAAACCACACATGCTAACACATTCACTTTTCAAGGACTCTGGGTACTTAGCAACTGAATAGAGGTTGGTTTCAGGGACAGTAGAGTTGTCAAAGTCTGCCTGAAGCTTTGAGACTGCAAGCGCAGGAGTTGAGAAACACTTCAGACAGGCATTACAATCAGGTTTGGTTGATGTTCTGCCCAAGGCTCTAGATGATACCAACTCAGGCCAGGTCACCTGCAGGCTTCGCTAAAGGGGACACAGCCATTAGTCCTGCAGCATCTCACCAGGGACATGGCAATGCCTCTGCTTACCTTCGGCACTCTAGAGGCAGCACGAAATAGCTCAATATGTGGCTACTACATTAGCATAATACTGATAGTGGCACCTGCCACTAAGACTACTGGCTTACCTCAACTCCCAAAACTTTGAGTATGTCACATTTGCACATCGGGCATGTCCTGTGTTCCAGAAGCCAAGGGTCGATGCAGTTCTTATGGAAGAGATGGCTGGTGGAAGACGATAACCACAAGTTAGGATTCCCACCAGGAAAACTGTTTATGTGGCAGCTACAAAGGCCCATTTAGAAACACTAATAATTTATTCTTTTTAGAATGGATTACCTTATTTTGCCACTACTTTGCTCAAAGTTGTGGACTGTTGATCTCTCAATCTGTAGCTGGTTTATGCTTACCAGTATCTCTCTACAGCTTGCCAGAATCCAGCATGATCATCTTTACTACATCAGTCTTAAGCTTTTTTTTTTAAATCCATGTACATATCCCAGCTGATAATTTAACAAAAATATTGACATCTCAGCCTTAGTTTTAAGGTTAACTTTTGTCATGTAAATGGAGATGACTAAATAGCACTTGTTTCTGTTAAAAGCCCATGGAAAAGTCATCTCAAAGTTGCATTCTCAAGATAAACTATACTCCCACACATTTGCTTTGTCTATGCAGTAAATGTATTGGAAGTGGATATTTTGCAGGCTGTGTACTCAAGAAAGTAAATATAGTTCAGCCACTACAGATGCAAATGTGTGCATCTACGAAGACGCTCAATTCTACAATGGGTCTGAATTAGGCCACAGATTTAGCAGGATGACTTGAAATCCTGTGATCTGCCTGTTCCCACAGGCTGAATAGAAATAGCAAGGCAGACAGGCACTTAATCAGAACCCTATTATGAGACAAATGCAGAGATCACCATGTGCAGTGCTCAGTATCTTGTGCCCCAGTATGGTACCAGGATTCTCCAATTCAGCCCACATAACCAGCACCTTCTTCCAGCTGCACCAACATAACATCTAGAAAGTACAACCTGAAACTTCCTCGATGCGTGACTATTTTAAATGCTTGGACTTAACACTGGTCTTGTGTGCCTCTGCTACTATAAATGCCTTCAGTTTGACTATCTGAACAAGAATGCCTTCTGCAAATACACACACCCCAAATGCTTAGATACCACTGATGTGACTCACAGGAGCATTCAATTGCTTGTTTCTTTCATGGATATAGTCAAATGCTTTCAGCAAGTAGGGTCTCAGTGTTGAGGCCAACCACGTTCTTGCAGTAAATATCAGCTTACAACTTGTGAGAGAGATATTTTAATATGGTTGATACTGGCAGAGATCACCACTGGTGAAGATTATCAAGTAGATGCATTCACCTTAAGCTAGTGCCTCTTACAGCTACAGTTGGGCCAAAGAGGAATAAAACATCACAAATGCATGTTAAAGCTGTCTCAGAGCAAAGCCTAAAGCAGCGAATTTGTCTATAAAGCATACATTCAAAAGAAGTGACCTCCCTCTTAATCCAGTAAGTCATGCTTTGTTTGCAAGTTCATACAGGATTAGCAGGGTTTATAGGGAAATAATGAGAAGTCAGGTGTCCTATCAGCCAAAAGTATCTAGAGCCTGTCGAAATGCTTCTGTACTTGTGGGACTTCCTTGATTACTCAACAGGACTACCCATAAATGTAAAACCTGACAAGACAACTGAAAAATCATTAACACACATGCCTGAAAACTTATTCACGTTTGGAGGTTTTTTTCCTAAACTATTAGGCATTAGATCACAGAAGTCTGTTGCTAACACCTTAACAGGCCAACTTCTTGATACCAAATCAGCTTAGAAGACCTGCTGCTTGGGAGCAGCTCAGATTTGCTATTGTTTGAGAAATGTCATTGCTCAGCACACAACAGCAGCTACAGGTTTTTCCATTCTTCAGAACTTGATTTTTCCTAAGTCAAAATTTTTCCATGTGCTTTTTTGTAACCCTCCCCAAGGGTTACAAAACCTTTTCCCATACAAAATCAGTGCATTTCAACTTTGCAGCCCTCTGATTTTAGAAGTTTGTGGAGCAGTCCCACGCAGCAGGCACAGTACAATACTGGGCTTCCACAGATCAGCAGTGAGACACAACAGTAGAGAACTCTAGAAAAATAAACTGCTATAGCTCTATTTCAGTATCTATTTCAGATGATGCACAGAAGAACAGAAATGCTTTCTTCTAAACTACCAAGGTTAGCGTGGTTTAACGAGTTTAGCAGGATCGTGACCCTCCTAGTAACCAGTAAGCTAAATGGCAAGAAATGGGCAAAGTTTTGCCAGTTATCTGCAATTTAGAGGTACCATTCTTAGACACCAGCAAAGGAAGAAATCTTTAAAAAGCCCTGGCATCTGCTGGCAAGGCACTGTTGTCTGCCAAATTACACTTGTCAATCCACTCACAGGGGAAGTTATGAACACAGGCCATCAGGGCACACTACAAGTGTGTATTTACACAGTTCCTGTCGTTCAAAACACTGTTTGACAGAGATTCAAGAATTCTTGCTGTGCCACAGCTTGATTACAGTTTGATCAGCTTTGTTAACATAGCAGAAGGAACAACCAGTAAGAGGCATGCTTCCAGATTTTGGATGAAGGGGCAGTTTGGAAGACAACTTACTTGCAAGTCAGAACACGCACGACTTCGTTGGGCTTGTACAGCTCCATGCACACGACACAGGTGTCTTCGTCAGGACCAGTTTCCTAAAACAATGAAATGAATGTACAGCATTAACAGACTTGGGAAGTTTCACTTGAATTACAGACAGATTTATTGCAGACAAAGGGGTCTAGCTAAAGCCATCTAGAACAGCTTCCGTATACAGACACATTGGCGGGTTACTCATAGTCAAGTTGACAATTTAACAGAAGCACTGAAAGTTTAATCCCACGGTTTAGAAATCCAGCTGCAAAACATCATGGGATTATTTGAGGCACTACTTTAGGGGTTTCGAAACTGTTCCCTCCAGTTTTAGTTACAAAAAGGATAGCCAGGGAAACTGATTAGAAATACTTGTCTAACCTTAAGCATCCACACTGGCAAATTAGGACCTCTGTCCTCAGCAAGACTACAAGCAAGCAACTTAAAAAAACAATAATCTGGTTAAAAAGAGCGTGCAAATTTGAAAGTCTTGCACCCTGGAAAAGAAGCTGGTCTGAAAGAGGAACCATCTCTGGCAGAGATGGTTATGGGCTCAGAGTCCTGCATCCTGCTCCAGGACCAAGGACCACTCTCTGGGTTCTGTGCAAAGGGTGCGCTGTAACCTTGCTCGGGAGATGGCAGGATCAGCCTTACCTTGTCCCCTTGCTTCAGGGTGCGCAGCTCTAACTGTTCAATGGCCTTCTTGGCCCTGGCCTTTAGTTGTTGCTGTAATGGAAAGCAGTCCTGGTTAAACAATCATTTCTCTGAAGCGGTGGTTACTAATACTTTCCAAGGTGCCTACTGCAAGCAGGCACCAGTTTTCTAACCCAGGTGTTATCAAAACAAGCCAAGTAAGCATGACCATGCTATTTAGAGACAACATGAAACAGAGTTTTGGGACATACTGAAGTCGTTATTGATTCTGGATGACACACAAACAAGGCATTTGCATATGATTTGGTTTTACCTAACCTTTACACAAAGCACAGGAATTTCAAGGGTTTCTTCTTTGAGAAGAGGCAAGATAATACCTTAATCAGCTTAGACCTAGCCAAAACAAACAGAAGCCTTAAAACTGACTTAGTACAGAAGACCTAACACTGAGTCTGACCATCAATAATTTTAACTGCTCAACTTCATGACAACTTCCTGGCATAAGCTCACATCCTGATGAAAGGTGAGATTCTTTCGCAATCAGCTCAGCTACCACCGACACACCCCGAACTAGCCCTCTGCCACAACTGCTTTATCCAGCACGCCAGCCGCTCAGGAGCCTCCTGGCACCCGCTGCTCCTGCCAAGTGGAAGAACGCAGTTTTATCTCAATATTGGTTCAAAGCAACATGCACAAAAAAAAAAAAAAGAGGGCTGAGATTTCTCCCCCTTGACACAAGGTGGGAAACAAATCAGGTGGATTACGTGGCAGCTTTAATGAAAGCAGAGGAAGCATTCCCCTTCATGCAATGATTTGCTTGCTGCCAGGACAGCAGGGCAGAGAGGAGCAGGCAGCAGATGCCCAGCTTGCCTGGCAACTGTTGCTGGACTGTCCAAGCTGCCACTGCAAAGCATTTAATTAGCACAAGAACTAACATCTCTGTTTAAAGGTCACAGGTTGGTGCTATTCCACCAACACAAGTATGACTGTCCTCTCCCTCCCTGGTACACTTACTGCCTCAGGACACGGAGGTGTATCAGGCAGCTCTGTCCCAACGTGGCACTTTTCTTAGGGACAGACTAGACGCAGGTTTTGTGGCTAACCAAAAATTCTCTTCCCAGTTCAGCTGCTCAGCACAGGAAACCTGCCCTGTCAGCTTTCCAGCATTAATACCCCTTAAGCATTCTAGTTCACTCACAAGAATCTTTCCCGGGATGAAGGTGCAGTGCTGGTGGCACAAGTACAGAAGGAACAAGGGGCTGGCAGGCTGCTGCTGACACCTAACAGAGTCAGCAAGAATCGTTGATTCAAGTCTGCGTAAGATTCCACGTGCTGAAGCTGTTAATGGCAAACAGGTTGATTTATAGGTCTGCTGGGACCACAAAGAGCTTTGGTGCAAAATCAGCAGTTTGCGTATCTGCATTGGTTTGGCTTCCTAAGATACAGCATTAATATGCACGCTTTGGGGAGTTCAGTTGTTAAAACGTATCAACTATTATCAAGGAAGAGATGCCTACAATCCAAGCGTGAATGATGCAAACAAGTTTTCAGGTACATTTTTAGGAACAAGACCTGGTTAATTTTTTTTTTGAGGCTTGTAAATTCTTCTGCTTAAAGACATCAATATATATTTCCATGCCTCACTTAAGAGTAACTTGAAAATTATATTCCCCTTGTCACACGGAAGCAGCCACACTCTCGCCTCAGTAAACACTGAGGCCCCGAACAGTTTTGGCAGCAAACATGGCAACATCAACAGAGCAGGAACGCAGCAATATTAGTACTTCTCGTGTGCGGCCAGGACTGTCAGTGCTACTTGTTATTAACTGAGAACCAAACTTTCTAGGAATGTACTCCCTCATACCTTATCTAATCTACACATCTAATGTCAGGCCAAGCACATTAGACAGGACCCAACTGGCTGTATCATTAATAATTTACTGAAACAATATTTTAGGATTTGCCTAGGCACAAGATTAACTGCTCTTCATGAAACGCACAAATGGCAAAGTCACCTTTAACATTGATTTGTGGTTAAGTACAGCAGAACACCCCTCGGGGGGATGGAGAAAGCTTGAAAGAGGAAGCTTTTTATTGAATAGCCTACCAGGAGATCCAGGATACTTGAGCTTGGAATGTCAAACCCTTTTGTGAAGTAAAGTTTTTCAAGCAAACATTAAATGTTAATGACATGAAAAGTCTAGAAGCTCACTAAAGTTCAGACGGGGTTTTGGGGGGGAGGCGGGGAATAAAATAAAATAGGCTTACATAACAGGATCTCATCCTAACTCCTATCTAGGCTCTGGCATGTTGAAGTAGAGAGGTACTTAACTGGGAGAACTAGGTCTGCTGTTGCTTAGTCCTCAATTTTCCTTAGTCCAGTGCTGCCGATTTTATTTCCAACCCTCCCTGCATAAGCATTGTCATGGCAATGCAGACTGGCAAGCTTTAAAGGAGGTCAAGGAACTCTTGCTTTTCTCCAGTAAGCTAAGGAAGTTCTCCCCCACAGGTAGCTGCTGCCATAAAACCAGTTCTGAATTATGGAAAGTTGAGCAACTCATCTCCTCCAAAGCCATTAATTAGGTCATTTCTCAGCTGTAACATCTAATCTTTATGCAATCAATGGAAGTGAAGACTTGAGCTTAAATTAGAAACCAGGCCACAGATAACATCACTGACCATTTGGCATTATTAAGAAAGGTTAATATATTGGGGAACTGAATTTGCCAGTACTTTTCTGACTAAGAAGGCAGCAAGCCAGCTACCACAGTTGCCTTGTTTTTTCACCTTGCTCACAGGCCACACGATGCAGTAGGATCGCAGAAGTGGAGACTTGAATTTCAAGCCCAGAAGAAAATCCGCATTCAGATAAACTGTTTGCAACACGCTATTCTTGAGCTATGGCTCATGAGGCAAAAGCTACTCCATTTTAACTCACAGTTAGGACAGATGTGCTACTAAACTTATGTTTTCACTTGAATCGCACCATAACAAGAGTGGCTCTTTTTTTTTTTTAAGAAAAAGCCTTTACACTGTTACATTATTGACTTATATGCAGCTCCTGCTCAAGCCAAGTGAGAGACAGCTGCTGTCTTGAAAATTCTGCAGAGAAGGTGTTTAAAACCTGGGTTATATGTGATCAAGCCATCCAGAAAGACTGCCTTCACCAGGAGCAGTAAGTAGCCGTAGCAAGAAGTACAGAAACTGTACTGGCAAGTGGTGAAGTTTAAAGGTACCCAACAGCATGGCTGTCTGTAACACAACAAACCGCTTCAGACAGTGCTGAAGTCTCAGAATTTTCCTCAAGCCAAAAGAAGGAAAAACACATTGCCAAGATGGGAATACCTGGAAGCCATCCAATTCAAGCAAGGGTTGCTACTCGTCCCATGGATGAATGAAATGTGTATCTAGCCAGGCTCTTGTTTTCTAAAAGCCTTTGAGGAAGAGACAGCACATCTAGAAAACTGTCTCCCCCCTTTCTGCTCTACCCCTTAGTGAGCAAGCGAGACTCAGGCTTCATCACTCTCTTCAGTCCAGGGACTGTGGCTCAGTTCACGGGAACAAGCCAAACATTCAGGAACCTGAACATACAAGAGACAAGCTGCAGAGCATCATTATCACACAGCACAATTAGCTGTTCACAGCCCTCTGTGGAGCGTTTGTTTCAGTTCAAGTGGTGGACTGACTTTTTTAAAGACTCCTCACACAACAGCAATATAATCCCTCAGGGAAGGACAAAACAGAGACAGATACTTTGAAGAGCAGTAACACCATGTAAAGGGATGCATTCAGAACAGCAGTTCACTTCCGAGAGAGGGAAAATTCTTAATACTTAACTATCACACTTGACTGTTTCCTAAAGACACCTCCAAAAAGAATGCATAACCCTTAGACATCTGTGCAATAAAGGAGATGAAACACACTACTCCACCAAATAACAGACTGGAAACTTGGATTGCCGGGAGGTCAAAGGGCTGAATGATGACAGCAAAGCTCCCCATGTAGTCTGCAAGCTGATTAACTGTTTGACTAATATTCAGTATTTCATGGAATCAAAGCAGTTAAGACTCAAACTTGGGATATACACTGAAAATCCAATCAGCTGGCCAACAGGGAACACTAATCACTTTTTGGTAGTTCACCTTCACTAACAAGAACTTTCTTGTTATTCTTTGCTTATCTAATCACTGTGAGGTCAGTTTGTAGATGCCATCATATAAAAACAATTGAAAACAATTCTGGATTGTCTTGAGTTTCACTTTTAAAAAACAGTACATTTCTACCCCCTGATAGCAGAAAAACTTTCTTCTATTCTTATAGTTTATAAAGCACTTTTTAAGGCTCCTTAACTTCAGTTTGGCTGAAATCATGTGGAACTGGCACGTCATTTATCAACGTTATTTTTCAATCTACAGTAAACTCCTTGTGCACACAGAGTCCAAGACAGAAAGCGTCTGTGAAGGTGCTAGCCGAGCAGACTGGATTTTCCCAGTACATCTACCACCGAGGCATTAACAACATTTGCAGCTTGTCGAAAGCCCAATAGCTCAGAATAGAGCTGGACTTCCACAACTACTCTGTTAAACATCTTCAAAGGAAGAAAAATTTCCATGTGACATGACAAACAGTGTCTTTTGCAGACCAGCTTCTAGGGCACCCAGATTTGTTTGGCACTGAACAGAGTTCTCATACTGGGGTAGGTGCCAAGGAATGAAAGAGGGAATTCGTCAGCAGGAGACAGGGTGCATCTCCGTCCACAGATGTCAGCATCAAGTTCGAGCTCCATGGCATCCCTCATGAAAGGTACCATGGAGGCAACTCCAAAGGACATCCAGGAGTGGCAGTGCTACATCTCCCAGTCAGATGACAACTTCCAATACTCTCTTTCAACTACTCCCTTCCTATATCCTTACGCCACTCCCACGTATGGCATAACACCAGAACATGCCAACGGCCTAAACCAGGGCACTTAGAGGAAGCCTAGTCCAGAGGTTGAGGCAGACACAGCATAGACAAGGCACCAATACAGTTTCAGCTCACTGTTAATCTCTGGTCTCAGTAAGGATCGAGTCATCTGACCGTCATCCACAAGATTAAACAACAGGATTTCAGAACACAGACTTGACTAAGTTAGGTTCTGCAGTTCCTAGAGAGAACCCAATGTGGCCAATATTTGAACCAGGCATTCAACTCCAGGACGGCTGCTGTCATTCACCCTAGCTAGTCTCGTGGTCTGACAGTGATGGTTCTGCACATTAACATTTTAAAGCAGCCAGTCCTGAAGTGTTACACAGAAGCCTGAAACCAGCCTGAATTTCAACACCTGAGTCCAGCATCTTACTTCCTCAGCTTATTTCTGAGGATCTTCCTCAAGGGCCCCGAAATCTCCAGAACAGCAGAGCAGCTCTGCTGCTGCACAAGACCTGTCCTACTGAGAAGTTCATCACTACTTTAACTCTCTAGCCACTCAGCCAGAGATAATGCACATACTCTGAGCCCACGTAGAATGAAATGCTTGTGCAATTGCTGTCTGTAGAAGAGGATTCTAACTCTTCTTTCAGAGTTCAGGTCACTCCTGCAACAAGCGCTGCAAATACCAATGGTCTCCTTTGTAACGCAGCTGTGAGGGCAAGGCTGAAGTGGCACATCTGAGCCACTCAGATCCTGTTCCTGCTGCTGCCCATCATCTTTGGCAGATGTCACACCAGGACTTCATTCTCACTTTTAAGGCTTTTGCTTAAGCTGAAGCATCAGGTATAAGGCAGGTCTGATCAGGCTGAAGACAAAGCTGCAAGCATTAGTCTCACCAACTGATCAGATTATTGCACTGACAAGAGTTAATTGGAAACAACTCATTAGCAACTCCCTGCCTTGGATTTAAAGGGAACACAACTTAACAGTGCTTTTTTTCAACTCCTAATTGAGGCTGTCACTGCCATTCTCAGAAAGCAGCTTTCAACAGGCAGCCGTTTCCGAACTTGTGGTCTACGGAAAGGCGGCCAAAGTCGTGCACCGCTTTGCCGACACTCGGCGTCGTGTCTCACATTACAGCTAGCACACAGGCAGTGCTATGTGGGAAGTGTGAGGGTCAGCTAAAAGCAGTTTAGCGCTCTCACCTCCTCCAATCCATCAGCTTTACGGCTGCGCTGCGGGTCAGCGAGTAAAATTTGTAGGAGACAAAGTTAGCTAAATGTGATCAATTGCTTTCTTCAGACAGTTTGTTGTTTCTTTCAAAAGTTTTAAGCTGTTTTAAGATATGCCTCTTAGCAGTTTAGAGATCACACTCCTTCCTGTGGAATGAGCTAATTCAGTACTTTTGGTGTTCAAGCAAAAGCCCTCAAGATCCACAGCATGGATCGTGGGTACAGAAAAAGGTAATGGCACACACAGACTCACCTGATTCTTGGACTGGTGTCTTGCAATCCTGAGTCTCCGAAGAGAATAAAAAATAAAGTAGCCCATGGTTGCTGCGGTGACAATGAAAAATGACACGGAGATGAAGAAGATGGAGTACTGATTTATCCATGGGCCGTGCTTCTTCCCCAGTTCAATGACCATAGTCACTTTCAAGCCACTCTCAATCCGGTGCAAGATCTCCATGCCTTTCAGGTTGCCAATCATAATTGCAACGATGCTTCTGGCACCTGCAAAGGAGAAGGGGAAACCAGGCTTAGTTCCCAGGTCATTGTCTTACATGTTCCGGTTCAAGTGCTAAAGAACAGACTGGAAAGTTTCTAGCTTGCATTTGCAGATTCAACATGAATTGATGGACTAAGTGTCATCTCCACATGCTTCTTCAGCTGAAGATTATGCCCTATGAGCTCCGTGAGTGAACCATATTTAGAATTCATTCCTCTCCATGGCACCCATCATTCCCACATGGGACATGCACTGTCATTATTTTAGACTCAACACTTCGGCAATTTACCTTTTAACATGCCTTTGAACTACATCAAGTCAAATCCTATACAGAGCAAGGTCACTAAGGATTGTGGTATCTCCCGGAGCTCATGGATGCCAAGTGCACAGCTGGTGGCTTAGGGACCCTTCCTGTAACACATCCAACTCCCTCCTTGCTCCGCTGCCACTTCTTAACACCTCTTCTCTAAATTTGGCAGTGCTGTCAAGTACTTCCCCAGACACTGAGCAGTCAAAGCCATAAATCAGCCTTTCCTTCTGTATTTTCAGGAGCGATTGAGAAATGTTTGAGGGAAATTTGGTTGTGAATTTGTCATGGTTTAACCCCCAGCTACTTGGAAGAAAGTTAACTGCCTCTCAGGCAAAACCAGGACAGAACTAAAAATGTTGTTGTGGGTTTCTAATGCAGATTCAGAGGATGCAAGTACGGAGGTGTGCTCAGCTTTTAGGGATTTGGTGGCAGATGGAAAACCCCATCCAGATTTTAAAAACAGATTTCACTTACTTGGTTGAACATCATGACAAGCCATCAGAGGAACAAAGGGGTTTATGGTAGGAAGCAATTTCAAGCAACTCTGATCACCAAGTACAGACCAGAACAAAGCTGCTGTCGTTTTGGTGACAAGCAAGTATTTGAGGACACTTGATACTATTTGCAGGAATGTTAGGCACTCCCAAGATAACAGAGAGGCTCTTAAAGTTAAAAAACAAAAGGGAGAAAGGGAGATGAATAACTTGTCACTGGCCTCTCTCTAAACTAAACACAAGAAAAGTGGATGTGAAGACTAGCTGGACAGGAGTCACTGCACCAAACCATCAAATGCACAACTTTCCTAACAGATGTTGCATGGTGAAGGGAAAAAGGCTGTCACAAAGTCCTACTTTTAGCTAACCTCCCAGCCAAACACTTATCGGGGAGACCAATATTTTTGCTCCATTAAGAATAAAAATCCAATCTTGGAGCATTAAAAAAAAAAAAAAAAACCCTAGAATTGGTCTTAAACCAAAGGCTCAGATTTGAGAAAGCACTTAGTTTTCCAGCTTGTTGACATAATGCCTGTGATCCAACATGGCTAAGCATGA